TCAGCAGCCTCCCGGCTCCGGCCGGCGCTGTGCCGGAGGGGGAGCAGCCACTCACCGCCAGGCTCCTGCCGAGGAAGGCCTGCAGGAAGGCGGACTTGCCTGCGCCCCTGGCTCCCAGCACCTTGCAGAGGAAGACGTTTCTCTGGGTCTGGCCTTTCTCCAGGTCGATCCTCTTCTCCCGGGTCACTGGGAGGAAAGGAGGTGGGGGTGAGCGAGGGGGAGGAGCCCGCCCGAGAGAGGAGGGGAGGGGGCACCGGCCGTACCCGTCAGGGCCTGCGTCTGGGAGTCCTGCTCCGAGAGGATGGGGTAGCCCAGGTAGCCCAGGCACTCCAGGCAGTGCCTCACGTCCAGGTAAGCCACGAGGCTGGAGAGGCCGAGCCCACCCGACGGGGTCAGCAGGGGCCCAGAGATGGGATCTCAAGGCCGGGGAGAGGGACTGAGCTTACGTCCACTGGCAGAGGAATCCATGCAGGGAAAGCAGGCCTTTATCAGTGGTGCATACCGTGTGGTAGAGCTCGGGGCCCCAGGGCACGCAGGGGAAGACACTGAAGAAGTTCTGCAGCTCTGTGGGTGACAGGGCTCCGTCCTGGTCCTGCCAAGACAAAGCTGGGTCAGCACAGGGGGTGGGACGGGGTCCACGGGCACCACCCCGGCTCTCTGCGGCCACCCCGAGTGCTGCTGGGGTCCAGAGAGGGTCCCTGGGGGCACGAGCCACCCTGCTGCCTGCTGCAGAGTGACACAGGGATGTTTTCAAGGGCAGCAATCGATGGCAAACAAGGGCAGAGAGCGTGCAGGGAGCCTGTGCCCCGGGCACTCCCACCAGACAGGCTGGTTCTGCTCTGGGACCACAGCTGGAACCAGGACCTGCCCACGCTCACCCCCCAGCCCCGAGCCTGCCACGCTGCAGGGCAACCAACCCAAGCTCTGAAGGCTACTAGCCACCAGGGAACCAAGGGAGCACCTCCAGGCTGATGTGCCACAGAGGGTCTGCTGGCATCTGGGCACACAGGGACGGGCATGGATGCCAAGCTGCAGGTCCCTGTGGGCACAGAGCTGCTGCAGCCCAGGAGCACATCAATACCTGAGTAACACTGCAAAGAGCCAGAGTAACTCACAATCATTCAGGCTGGAAAAGGCCTCAAGATCATCAAGTCCAACCATCAGCCCAACACTCCCATGGCCACTAAACCATGTCTCCAAGTGCCACATCCACATGTTTTTTGAACTCCTCCAGGGCTGGTGACTCCAGCACCTCCCTGGGCAGCCTGGGCCAATCCCTCACCACTCTGCCAGGGAAGAAATTCTTCCTAAAATCCCTTTGAAACCTCCCCTGGGGCAGCTTCAGCCCATTGCCTCTTGCCCACTGCTGGTTACTTGGGAGAAGAGACCAACCCCCACCTCACTCCAGCCTCCTGTCAGGGAGCTGTGGAGAGACAGAAGTTCTCCCCTCAGCCTCCTCTTCTCCAGGCTCAACACCCCCAGGTCCCTCAGCCACTCCTCACAAGCCATGTTCCCCAGACCCCTCCCCAGCTTCGTTGACCTTCTCTGCACCCTGTCCCGCCCCAAGGTCCTTCTGGGAGTCAGGAGCCCAAAACTGAACCCAGGATTTGAGGTACAGCCTCCCCAGTGCCCAGTCCAGGGAGGCAATCCCTGCCCTAGTCCTGCTGGCCACAGTAGTGCTGATCCAAGTCAGGATGCTGGTGGCCGCCTTGGCCACCTGGGCACACTCTGGCTCACGCTCAGACACTGAAGACACGTCCCCTCCCCAGGCAGCTCCAGCACATGCTGCCCACCTTGTCGTGCTTCTCAAACATCCGCTGCAGGAACTGGTAGCCCAGGTGGTTGAGCTCCGTGGAGCAGCCGGGGGGGAGGCGGAACCTGTTGGTTGGAAGAGACCCAAGTGAGTGTCCTGGAGCCCTGGGGGAAGGGCAGGGTGGGGAGAAAACCTCCAGCCAGCCCAGAGGACACAGCTCCCTGCTCGAGGCCGGTGGCTGTCTCCAGGCCTGCCTGTTGTGTGACACAACCCCCTTGTTTTGGGGAGAAGCTGCAGAAGCAGCCCAGGACCACGCTGCCAGCTCACCCCTCCCCACAGGGCCGTTCTGCCTGGCTTCAGGCAGACAGAACAGCCTTCACAAACCCCTTGCTGATGTCAAGGGAAGTCAGGGCCAGGCCTTTGTTCCCCACCTCCATCGGAGCCAGCAGCGCAGTCAGCAGCTCCGAGGCCCGTTGTCTTCATCACCACCCCCCACGTGTCGGCTCCAGTGAGGAGCCTGAACCTGAGCACGAGCTGAGGAGGGGGTTGGGCCTCGGCCTGGGAGCAGAGCAGCCCCCAGGGTGCAGAAAGGAGGCAGGGAAGGCGCTGGGGATGCTCACTGGGGGTACAGGTAGTCGTCCGTCAGCTCCAGCTCGTCGTCGTACCCGAAGCGGCGGAGGATGGTCCAGGTGGTCTCGTGGCGGCCCCTCTGGATGAAGAGCGTGTTGAGGAAGAGGAAGCCTGCAGGAAAGATTGGGTTGAGATCAAGGGGCTCCAATACAGGCCAGCCAAGCATCTGACCTTAAGGATCAGCTCCTCGGGACCGCCCTTTCCCCAGGCAAACAGGCCGCCCAGGCGCAGAGCTCTAGCAGCCACGCCAGGCTCAGGCTTAATTTGACCAGAGGGACTAATTAGGCTCAGGAATGAGAGCCAAGAGGCTCAGCTCGAGGACAGGGGCCCCTCGCAGTGTGCTGAAGGACAGGGGCTCCCCCAGACCCCCTGGGAAGGGTTGTGGAGCCCTCGTGCCCTCACCGTTCAGCGTCAGCCCGTTGTCCTGCACCCCGTCCGTGGTGTTCTTCCACACCACCATCTTCACATCCTCCAGGGCCTGGGGAGCCAGGGGGTTTCCAAAGCAGGACTTCTGCCTCCCAAGAGAAAGAAGAAGGTCATTTGGGAGACCTGACTGTCACCTTTCAGTGTTTAAAGAAGGGTTATAAGAAAGCTGGGGAGGGACTTTGGAGCGGGGCCTGTTGGGACAGGACAAGGCAGGATGGGTTTAAACTAAAAGAGGGAGATTTAGACTAGAGAGAAGGAAGAAATGTTTGACACTGAGGGTGGTGAGCCCCTGGCCCAGGCTGCCCAGAGAGGTGGTCGCTGTCCCATCCCTGGAACCATCCCAGGGGCTCTGAGCACCCTGCTCTAGTTGGGGATGTCCCTGCTCCCTGCAGGGGGTTGGACTGGATGACCTTGAAAGGTCCCTTCCCACCCACACCAGCCTGGGATTCTGTGATCATCAGCAAAGCACAGACACAGCCCAAGCCCTGTCTCACCACCATCCCCCCCCCTTGACATGGAGAAGTTGTTTCTAAAAGAGCAAATCCACCCAGCTCAGGGATTACTGCCTTAGACCCTGACCAAACACCTGCTCCTCAACATCTGCTACCATCATCTGACCCTCAGCATCTCCAGAGCCTCCTGCTCTTCCCACAGCAGAGCCCACCTGGCCTGAGCTTAGTGAAGATGGGAGACCTTGGGATCAACACGTGCTAGGAGATGTGCAGCACAGGTACTGAACACAACCAGGGTGGCTGTGTCAGGAGAGGGGCCTGGCATGGGAAGGAAAGGGCTTTCCTTCCAAGAGCTTTCCACGAGGGAGTGGGGAACACCTCAGCTCCACAGCCAGCCCTACCTGGAAGTAGTTGAGTTCATCATCACTCAGGATCTGGTTGTTATCCTGGTCTGAGAGGTTGAAAATCCGGGTCAGGGCTCGTGCACAGGCAGGTTTCAGCTGCAAGGGACCAACCGTGGGGACAAAAACAGGGCACCAACTTCAGCCTGGCTCCTCCTCCTGAAACCCCACGCACAGACAGAGGGGTTCCCTTCCAGGGGCCAGCACCACAGCCACCTGGGAGCCAGGAGGCAGAAGCAGGACAGCCCACAGGGAAGGTTTCTCAATTCTTCCCACCATGGTTAACACATGGGCTCCTACTCAAACAAACCCCCAGACCTTGAAGATCTCCCTGGGCTGGATATGTTCTACTGGCTGTGCTGAGCACAGGAGATGGGTGCTCTCCCCTTGTTCCAGCTGCACCAGCCCAAATTCTCCAATCTTCTCCCCAGGGGGATGAGCCCAGCACCAGACCAGAGTGCTGGGACAGGATGGAGACCCCTTGGACACAGAGCTGTGAGCTGTTTTCTTCCTACCTGCTTCTCCTCCGGGTCGTAGAGGGGAGCAGTGGGGTGGAGCACGGCTTTCTGGGCATAGTAGAAGAGCTCAGAGATGTTCTTGAGGTTCTTGGCAGAGCACTGGGGAGTCAAAGGAACAGACAGTCCTGTCAGAGGTGGGGTGGTGCTGAGGAGGATGACAGAAACTCCCTGAGCCAGAGAAGTTATGCACCTAAGCACAGAGCAGCCCGCTGCTAGGATAAAACAAAACCTAAAGGACAGAAAACTCAAAGCAAGGCCCTCAAGACCCACACAGAGGTGCTTCTGCAGGGCAATGTCAGCAGGGCAGCTCTCCACGAGCAGAAAGCTCCCTGGTTCACCCCAGACAAGGGCCCCCACCCCTCAGGGAAGCTTTGCAGAAACCCTCCAGTCTCCTCACCTCCACGCAGGTCTCGATCTCCGAGAACTGGTTCATGATGGGCAGGATGACATCCATGGAGCTCCCCACCTGCAGGTCAGACTTGTTTCCCACTAAAATAATGGGGATCCTGGAGAAGGAAGCCACCAGTGTCAAAGAGGACGAGTGAGGCCACCCCTCCTCTCAGGCAGCAGGCTGGGGAGCTTCCCCACCCTCCTCTGCAAGGTCCACAGCAGCTTCCCTGCCTCCCACGGCTGGGAGCATCCATCTGGAGAAACAGACTGCCTGATCCTGCTTATGCTTTCACCCAGCAACAATATGGTCAGGAGCCTTTAATCCAGCACAGCAGCCTCCTGCCTGAGCATTCCACATGCAGATGGAGGGTCCTGTGCTCCCCACCTCCCCCTGGCAGCCTCCTCTCCCTGCCTGACTGAGCGGAGATCAAGGGGGGGCAGGAACTCCTTCCCGAGTGGTCTGGCCACTGGTTTGATCTCAAGACCCTCAGGAAGGAGATGAGGGTGGCAGGCACCCCACAGCCTCCAGGATGCCCCAATTCTGCCCCCATAGAGCAGGCCACAGATGGTACCTGGAGCCCTTCTCAACTCCCCCGTTCACCATGGGGATCCACTTCGTGCGGATCTGAAAGGGGAGCAGAGGGAAAGGCTGTCAGCACAAACCTGGCCAGGGGAAGCAGCTCCCAGCTCCCAGCACAGCTCCCAGCACCCAGCACAGCTCCCAGCTCCCAGTACAGCTCCCAGCTCAGCTCCCAGCTCCCAGCACAGCTCCCAGCTCAGGAGCAGCAGCTGCCGGCAGAGCCCTGCAGCCATCTGCTCCCCTGCACACCCCAGCAGGCTGAGCAGACCCAGGGAGGCTGCATGCCAGCAGAAGGATGTCACAAGCCTGTTGCCTCTCAGCACGTGCCAACAGCCAGAGCACCTCTGCTCGCAGGGGTCCCAAACCCCAAGGACTGGGAGCCCCTGTCCCCTCTGGCACTGCCGTGGGCACGGGGAGCCCCCGGGGAGCCTGTTACCTTCTCGATGGTGACCTCCTTGGTGACGTCGTACACCACGCAGACCACGTTGGCCTGCAAGAGAGAAGGGGCAGAGGGGGGTGAGCAGCCTGAGGCTCAGCCCTGTTGGTGGGGGCCACAGGCCGGTCCCGTGGCCTGGTAGCCCCTGCTCCACAGGTTGTTGCCACACTCGGAGCGAAACCTGTTGGCAGCCAAGCACGTGAGCGTCCACAGAAGCCCCCAGAGGCAAAGCCCAACTCCTCTGAGCCCCACGTCCCCATCCCCTGCTCCCACACCTCCTTGTCCCTCCCCTGTGATGGTTCTGCCTGAGCCTTGGGCTGGGCCAGTGGCCTCCTCCCCTCCCTGGCCCCAGCAGACAGCGCTGCCAGCGAGGCTTTGTCTGAAGCAGACAGGAGGGATCACTGGCCCTTTCAGGAGAGAGTTTAGCACTAATCCCGAGGACACACAAGGGTTTAGGCAGGATTTCCCAGAGCTGTTTTAAGCCCCTGTATACTCTTGCTGTCGGGGTGGAGGGACAGGTCCCCCGTGGCCACTGGCCCACCTCCTTGGCCGTTAGCCACTGAGGTGAAGGGATTAAACAGCTTTGCTCGCCTGGGGCACGCAGAGGAGAGACAGTTTTATTATCCACCCTCCAGAGATCCTCCCCCGTGCAGAGCTGAGGTTAATCCCAGGGCAGGGAAGAGCAGCTGGGCCCACCACAGCCAGCC